GTATCGCGGCATCTTGGAGTCGCTTGCGCGAGAGACGATTGACGTTCATAATAAACCGCTGACGGAGGACACGAAAACTTTCCTGCCCTTCAGGCAGCACGAGATCGAAAGTGCCAAAACATCTTGGGGCAACTCGGCGCCTGGCGCCGACGGAATTGCAGTGTCCTCCGTGAAACGGGCCTACAACAGGGTGCTGTCCGTACTATACTCAATTATTTTGATACGGAATGTGCACCCTGTTTGCTTCCGCCGTTCACGCACAACAATTATTTACAAAAATGGTCAACGGTGTGACCCGGCTAACTGGCGCCCACTCAATATCGGGAGTGCCCTCCAGAGGCTGATGCACAGGGCGATGGCTAACCGGCATACGGGAAGTCATCGCCCTGAGCACCAACCAACGCGGCTTCACTGCGGTGGATGGCACTCTCGCCAATTGTATGGCCCTTCAGGCCTACATTAGGAATAGGGTGGACGCCGGAAAAGGGTACTGCCTCGTCTCACTCGACGTCCGTAAAGCCTTCGACACTGTTGGACATGGAGTGTTGTTGGGGCGTTACGGAGATTTGGAATAGACGAGGGCTCCATCAAATACATACTGCCAACTTTGACCACCTCAGAGACCGCCATCAAAGTGGGTGGCGAGCAGACGGGGAGCATTCGGATTAGGCGCTGGGTCAAGCAAGAGGATCCACTTAGCCCACTACTATTTAACATGATAGTTGATGAGCTGCTGAGCCGGCTTAACGACGGGAGCAGGGGAGGCACAATCCTTCCTGGAGTGAAGGTCAGTGCTATGGCGTCTACCTCCGATATTATGATTTTTAGATACCACCACGACATCCCCGCGCACTGTACACTTTCTATCGAAACGTGTATTTGCTTCATCGCACTTCAGCTGCGCGGTGATGTTTCGGTATCTCTGACCAACGCTGTTGGTCGCTTGGGGGTGCGCGCCCACGATCGCATCGCGTGTAAAACGCGTGCTTGCGATCGCGGCACGTCGCACCGCGTCGGCATCCTCGCCAGGGAGGCCTACCTGGAGATTCGGATTCGAATCTGGGTTGTCGATCCTCGGATCGGCGACACGATCAAATAAGTTTTGAGACTCTTGGTTGGAGGAGACGGCAAGACAGTCGAGGAAGGCTCCCCTTTTTGCACCGAGAGCTGGTGCCGTGCTGAATGTCTGTACCACCGGCGCGGAATTAACGTCAGGTGGAGAAGTCACATGGAGATCAATATCACTGCACCTACCTTGACCCTGGGCCTGTGTGGCCGGACAAGTCATCTCTCCTATGACCTGACCCTCACAGCGATGTTTGTTCCCTGCAACCTCCTCATTTCGGCATACAGCATCGACGCGGTCGTCGTTGAAGGAGCGTGGGCGGACCTCGCGCTGTCGTCGTGTCGTCTTTTTGGTTCTAGATGTCATCGTCACGGAGCTCGGCCGGTTCCGCACTGCTGATGATATCCAAATGTGATGCACAGGGTGAACGTACTTGTGGAGATAATAATCTCCCGTCCCACCCCTTTCGTGCCAAAGCGTGAGTGCAACCCTTTTCTCTTAGTGAAATGCGGTTGTGGGGGTTATAACCACCTTTTGTTTTTTCAAAACAATATGGCAACCCCACAACTCACAATAGGTATCGGTGTATTTTCGATTTTTCGAAACGTGTACGATTTCAATACCCCACCCGAGGGGTTAGCAACTTGAATTTTAGGTCCCGCGGACCTATCCGTTCGCGACGGCGGTCGGACCAGGAGTGCGCGGCTCGACTGGCTGTATTGCTGAGACGGAACGATTCGGTGTTCTCGACGGACTGCTCGAACGCTGCTAGGCGGAGTGGTCGCGGAGAACTGGAGGTGGCACCGTGGTATCTGCTCGATATTCTGATGTCCAAGCTCGACCGAATGGATATGATCCTCTGATCAAAATTGCGCGTGCTTATAAAGCATTAGGGCGGACCGAACACTGAGCGCTCGCGCTCGCTGACGCTGATTCTCAAAAAGGGCCCCTAATTACTCTTGTGCAAAAAATGATCGTTTTTGATGATCTCTGATTTTGACAAAACTCGGCATGATTGTAGATCAGAACGTTCTGATTCTTAATCTGCAATTACTTTTTTCCTAACTTGTCGTTTTCGTGAGTTAGAAAGCGCGATTCGCGACACCTCCCCACCTATTGTGAAGTTGTTTTGGGTGCGTTTTTACGCAGAGCCTTTATTTTCACAATAATAATGGTTTACATAAGGTTTCAGTCGCATAATGCTTACAAAGCCTGCAAGAGAAAGAATGTTCACAGAAACAGTTCAATGGTTACAAAAATGGTGTACATTTCTATTCAGTAACATCTTACAATCATTGATCTGGTAGTTGCAAAAATGCACTAAGCATTCCTATTCAGCAACTTTATATTGGTACAGTTTTCCTGAAATCAACCAATCATTTTTGGTTTCCTTAAAACTACCCTAACACGGAACTATATACAACAGTGACAGGT